ATGGCCACCCCAGGGGATTTTAGTGGGTATACCTCCCCTTTCTGGGAGGGAGTCCCCACATAACCCGCGGTCCCTCCCCGGGGACTGCGGGTATCCATCAGGATTTCCCCTGGGTTAAACAAAAAAAAAAAAAAAAAAAAAAAAAAGGTTTCCTCCGATGGTGCGCCACCTTGTCGTTGTGGAGGAGCTCCCTCTTCCTTCGGGTGAGGGGTCTAAGAGCGCACCATTGCACTCCTCGTGGTGTTCGTCGCGGTGGTGGCGGTGAAAGCGAAAACGAAAGCGGCCTCGGGCCGTGAGTAGCGAGTATGAGAGTAGCCCAAAGCCGCCGCGCGGACATCACGAGAAGGGGGGTTGCGCTCCCTCCGGGCACCTTGGCCTGATGCGCATAGGGGTAGGCGGCCCTGACTTCAATCGCCCGGTCGGCCACGACCGTTAGGGATGCCCCTGCACTGTCAGGGTCTACCATCCCGGTGGCTAGAGGAAGGAAACCTCGAATTAAAAACCCGGTCTGGACAGCCCGTGAGCCTCTGGACGGCATGTCCTAAGGGAAGGAAAACCCCGACAGAAAACCAATTTCTTTTCAGATATCATGACACACCAGAAAGAGAGGATTACCGGCCAGTGGTTTCGGAGCCACAGGGCCCGGCGGGTGCGGGGGGTATCGTCCCGGCCCCTCCTCGTCGTCATCCGACGTCGGGCTTCCATCGGAGTTTCCAGAGAGCTCCGGTGGAGATGTGGCTATCTCTGTTTTAGCCAAGGGTCTGCGGAAGACCGTTCCAGGCCTTGGTGGGGGGGAGTAAAGACCCCGTGCGCAGGAGCACGAGGCAGGATCCGGGAGCGCAGGCTAGTCCAGCGCCGGCGACCCCGGGTCCTTCGACGGCGAGGGCAGAGGACGAGGAGGCTTGCTTCAAGCGTCCTGGTCCACTGTCCTCCAAGAGGAAGAGGGTGGGGCCCACGGCGCCGAAAGCCGTGGCCTCCACCGACGACGAGGATACGTCGTCCGACGTGGGCTCGGGGACCGACAATGAAATGTCGCTCTCCGAGTACTCGTCGGATACGGCGTATACCTTGAGGCACGGGGGGGACGCGCGACCGAAGCGCGGACGCGGACGCCCCGCGACAACCGGCGAGTGGGTCGGTGTCGAGGGGGTCCGCAAGGAGTTGGAGCTCCTGAAGAAGGAGCTGGAGCGGTGAAGGAGGAGCGGGATATCCTCGGGGCCAGGTTCGAAGTTGACTTCGGACCGACCGCGGGGGGACTCCCCTCCTCCTACGACGTGATGAGGGAGCTCGACAACGAGACCGTCGACTCCCTCATCAATGTCGTCATGGAAGAGATGGAGGCGGTGGAGCGCGTCGCTGAGCGCTCGAAGTCCCTGAAGGGTACCCTGAGGGGAGCGCTTCGGGCTGCGACGCGGCGAGCTCTGGCCGCCTCCAAGCTCTTGTTCACCCCGCGCGAACATCAGCGCGGGTGAACAGACGGAGAGAGGGGCCTCGAGCGGACCCGTCGCGACCTTGAGGCCGCGAAGGGTCTGTTCGAGGAGGCCCAGAGGAAGGTGGAGAGGCTGGAGAGGGAGGTTGAGGTCCTCAAGGCGAAGGAGACCCTTCGGGCCACCAGAGCCGAGAGGACCTTGCCCTCCCCGTGCCCCACACCGCCCCCGGGGCGGAGTGCGGCATCGAGGCGATGGAGACGGAGATGGAGGGACCTCCCGTGTTGAGGGATGACCCCCACCTCCAGTCTCCGTTCGGGAGGAGCCCTCGGGGACCCGGCCGCTCTCAAGACCTTTTGGTCGAGAGAATCGTGGCTCGGGTCGTCGAGGTGCTCCGACCCCGAACAGAGGAGACGGCCCGGCCCACCGAGCCTCCAAGGCCCCCTCCCGCGGAAGGGAGGGAGTTGTGGAGCAAGGTGGTGGGCAGGAAGGCCCGCAAGACCCGCGGAGAGGCGGGTACTTCTTCCCAGAAGACTGCTCCCCCCCCTGCCCTAGTGGCAAAGGGGGGAGCAGTGGGAAGAAGAAGAAGAAGGGCCCGAAGAAGGGCGCTGAGGGGGCACCTGCTGGAAAGGTGCCCCCCCAGAAGAAGAAGGGCAAGGCCTCCGCCAGGGTCATCCGAGAGCCGAAGACGGCGGCGGTCCTTCTGACCGTCACCCCTGAGGCGGGGATGACCATGGGGGAGGCCTTGAAGTTGATCGCCCCGCAAGGGAGATCATACGGGGGAGCGGGACACTCGCGGTCCTGAAGAAGTCCCAGGCTGGGGGCACTCTGTTCCAGTTAACTGGAACGGAGGGCCCCCGCCTGGCAGGGGAGCTTCTCGCGAAGATGCGAGAACTCCTGGGGGGGAGGCCGGGAGTCAGGGTCACCCGGCCCCAGAAGCGCGCAGAGTTGCGCCTTCAGGGGCTGGATGACTCTGTCACCCGGCAAGAGGTGGTTGAGGCCGTCACGGGGTTGACGGACTGCTGCGCGGAGGACCTGTCCGTGGGAGAAATCCGATTTCTCCCGGGTCGGATGGGCTCCGTGTGGCTGCGTTGCCCCGTGCCGGTCTACAACAAGGTCGTCGAGGCGGGGAGCTCTGCATCGGGTGGGGCGTGGTGGTTGTTAAACCACTCCCGGCCCGCCGGATGCGGTGCTTCCGCTGCCTCGAAGTGGGCCACGGGGCGGCCGGCTGTAAAGGGCCGGACAGGAGTGGCCGCTGCCATAGGTGCGGCGACCGCTCCCACCAGTCGCGGCTGTGCCCGGCGGGGACGCCCAAGTGTCCGCTGTGCGCGGACGTTGGGGTTCCCGACGGTCACTCGCTGGGGGCGGCCACTTGCGTGCCTAGCGCAAAGGTCGCCCACCGGCGTAAAGCCGCGTTGGCCAAAAAGGCCACCGGGAAGGGGAAGGGCCCGGGCACGCAACCCTCGACGAGCGAGGGTGCGGCCCCGGCTGCTTCCGGCGGAGGGAGTAAGGGGGGCCCGCGTAGGGCTCAACCCCCCGAAACCTCCGCCCCAGCAGGGCCCGCGGGGACGGAGAGAGTGACCCGTTCGAAAGCGAACAAGGGTCCCTCCTCCGTGCCTCGGAAAAGGGCTCCACCGATGGCGGGGAGGGTCGTTCGGCCGGGTCCTCTAAGAAGAGGACTATGGCGACCGATCCTCCGCCGCCCAACGGGAGAAGGAGATGGCGAGGGCTGTGCTGGGTGGGAGGACCCTCATAAGAGAGTTCTCCCACACCCCCCCCGCCGGAATGAAGAGAAGAAGGACTACGCGGACCGATTCAAAAACTGAATCGCTCCGCGTACTCCTTCCTGAGAGGAGGGCAGGGCCGGACCCCTGCGGAGAGGGGCCCTTAATTGGGCCGGGCCGCCCGGTCCCCGTTTGGGATGCTGCCGCGTGTACGCGGGGACTGGGCATTGCAGCAAGGGCGGCTGCACGACGGGGTTTTTAGTGGGTATACCCGGCATTGCACACCGAGGGAGAGGACTAGCCTCTCCTGAGGGCCGGGGAGTCCCACAGTACCCCCCAATGCGCCGGAGCATTGGGGGGTCTGCGTAATGCATTTTCCCCGTCGTTAAAAAAAAAAAAAAAAAAAAAAAAAAAAAAAAAAAGGTTAGGTTAGGTTAGGTTTCTCCTCCGATGGTGCGCCACCTTGTCGTGGTGGAGGAGCTCCCCTCTTCCTTCGGGTTGAGGGGTCTAAGAGCGCACCATTGCACTTCCTCGTGGTGTTCGTCGCGGTGGTGGCGGGTGAAAGCGAAAACGAAAGCGGCCCTCGGGCCGTGAGTAGCGAGTATGAGAGTAGCCCAAAGCCGCCGCGCGGACATCACGAGAAGGGGGGTTGCGCTCCCTCCGGGCACCTTGGCCTGATGCGCATAGGGGTAGGCGGCCCTGACTTCAATCGCCCGGTCGGCCACGACCGTTAGGGATGCCCCTGCACTGTCAGGGTCTACCATCCCGGTGGCTAGAGGAAGGAAAACCTCGAATTAAAAACCCGGTCTGGACAGCCCGTGAGCCTCTGGACGGCATGTCCTAAGGGAAGGAAAACCCCGACAGAAAACCAATTCTTTTCAGATACATGCAGCACACCAAGAAGAAGAGGAACTTACCGGCCCAGTGGTTTCGGAGCCACAGGGCCCGGCGGGTGTGGGGGGTATCGTCCCGGCCCCTCCCTCGTCGTCATCCGACGTCGGGCTTCCATCGGAGTTTCCAGAGAGCTCCGGTGGAGATGTGGCTATCTCTGTTTTAGCCAAGGGTCTGCGGAAGACCGTTCCAGGCCTTGGTAAGGGGGGGAGTAAAGACCCCGTGCGCAGGAGCACGAGGCAGGATCCGGGAGCGCAGGCTAGTCCAGCGCCGGCGACCCCGGGTCCTTCGACGGCGAGGGCAGAGGACGAGGAGGCTTGCTTCAAGCGTCCTGGTCCACTGTCCTCCAAGAGGAAGAGGGTGGGGCCCACGGCGCCGAAAGCCGTGGCCTCCACCGACGACGAGGATACGTCGTCCGACGTGGGCTCGGGGACCGACAATGAAATGTCGCTCTCCGAGTACTCGTCGGATACGGCGTATACCTTGAGGCACGGGGGGGACGCGCGACCGAAGCGCGGACGCGGACGCCCCGCGACAACCGGCGAGTGGGTCGGTGTCGAGGGGGTCCGCAAGGAGATGGAGCTCCTGAAGAAGGAGCTGGAGCGCGTGAAGGAGGAGCGGGATATCCTCGGGGCCAGGTTCGAAGTTGACTTCGGACCGACCGCGGGGGGACTCCCCTCCTCCTACGACGTGATGAGGGAGCTCGACAACGAGACCGTCGACTCCCTCATCAATGTCGTCATGGAAGAGATGGAGGCGGTGGAGCGCGTCGCTGAGCGCTCGAAGTCCCTGAAGGGTACCCTGAGGGGAGCGCTTCGGGCTGCGACGCGGCGGGCTCTGGCCGCCTCCAAGCTCTTGTTCACCCGCGCGAACATCAGCGCGGGTGAACAAACGGAGAGAGGGGCCCTCGAGCGGACCCGTCGCGACCTTGAGGCCGCGAAGGGTCTGTTCGAGGAGGCCCAGAGGAAGGTGGAGAGGCTGGAGAGGGAGGTTGAGGTCCTCAAGGCGAAGGAGACCCTTCGGGCCACCAGAGCCGAGAGGACCTTGCCCTCCCCGTGCCCCACCCCCCCAGGGGCGGAGTGCGGCATCGAGGCGATGGAGACGGAGATGGAGGGACCTCCCGTGTTGAGGGATGACCCTCCACCTCCGGTCTCCGTTCGGGAGGAGCCCCTCGGGGACCCGGCCGCTCTCAAGACCTTTTGGTCGAGAGAATCGTGGCTCGGGTCGTCGAGGTGCTCCGACCCCGAACAGAGGAGACGGCCCGGCCCACCGAGCCTCCAAGGCCCCCTCCCGCAGAAGGGAGGGAGTTGTGGAGCAAGGTGGTGGGCAGGAAGGCCCGCAAGACCCGCGGAGAGGCGGGTACTTCTTCCCAGAAGACTGCTCCCCCCCTGCCCTAGTGGCAAAGGGGGGAGCAGTGGGAAGAAGAAGAAGAAGGGCCCGAAGAAGGGCGCTGAGGGGGCACCTGCTGGAAAGGTGCCCCCCCAGAAGAAGAAGGGCAAGGCCTCCGCCAGGGTCATCCGAGAGCCGAAGACGGCGGCGGTCCTTCTGACCGTCACCCCTGAGGCGGGGATGACCATGGGGGAGGCCTTGAAGTTGATCGCCCCCGCAAGGGAGATCATACGGGGGAGCGGGACACTCGCGGTCCTGAAGAAGTCCCAGGCTGGGGGCACTCTGTTCCAGTTAACTGGAACGGAGGGCCCCCGCCTGGCAGGGGAGCTTCTCGCGAAGATGCGAGAACTCCTGGGGGGGAGGCCGGGAGTCAGGGTCACCCGGCCCCAGAAGCGCGCAGAGTTGCGCCTTCAGGGGCTGGATGACTCTGTCACCCGGCAAGAGGTGGTTGAGGCCGTCACGGGGTTGACGGACTGCTGCGCGGAGGACCTGTCCGTGGGAGAAATCCGATTTCTCCCGGGTCGGATGGGCTCCGTGTGGCTGCGTTGCCCCGTGCCGGTCTACAACAAGGTCGTCGAGGCGGGGAAGCTCTGCATCGGGTGGGGCGTGGTGGTTGTCAAACCACTCCCGGCCCGCCGGATGCGGTGCTTCCGCTGCCTCGAAGTGGGCCACGGGGCGGCCGGCTGTAAAGGGCCGGACAGGAGTGGCCGCTGCCATAGGTGCGGCGACCGCTCCCACCAGTCGCGGCTGTGCCCGGCGGGGACGCCCAAGTGTCCGCTGTGCGCGGACGTTGGGGTTCCCGACGGTCACTCGCTGGGGGCGGCCACTTGCGTGCCTAGCGCAAGGGTCGCCCACCGGCGTAAAGCCGCGTTGGCCAAAAAGGCCACCGAGAAGGGGAAGGGCCCGGGCACGCAACCCTCGACGAGTGAGGGTGCGGCCCCGGCGCTTCCGGCGGAGGGAGTAAGGGGGCCCGCGTAGGGCTGAACCCCCCGAAACCTCCGCCCCAGCAGGGCCCGCGGGGGCGGAGAGAGTGACCCGTTCGAAAGCGAACAAGGGTCCCTCCTCCGCTTGCCTCGGAAAAGGGCTCCACCGATGGCGGGGAGGGTCGTTCGGCCGGGTCCTCTAAGAAGAGGACTATGGCCGACCGATCCTCCGCCGCCCAACGGGAAAAGGAGAAGGCGAGGGCTGTGCTGGGTGGGGAGGGACCCTCACAAAGAGAGTTCTCCCACACCCCCCCGCCAGAGATGAAAGGAAGAAGGACTACGCGGACCGATTCAAAAACTGAATCGCTCCGCGTACTCCTTCCTGAGAGGAGGCAGGGCCGGACCCCTGCGGAGAGGGGCCCTTAATTGGGCCGGGCCGCCCGGTCCCCGTTTGGGATGCTGCCGCGTGTACGCGGGGACTGGGCATTGGCAGCAAGGGCGGCTGCACGACGGGGTTTTTAGTGGGTATACCCGCATTGCACACCGAGGGAGAGGACTAGCCTCTCCTGAGGGCCGGGGAGTCCCCACAGTACCCCCAATGCGCCGGAGCATTGGGGGGTCTGCGTAATGCATTTTCCCCGTCGTTAAAAAAAAAAAAAAAAAAAAAAAAAAAAAAAAAGGGGTTAGGTTAGGTTAGGTTAGGTTAGGTTAGGTTAGGTTAGGTTAGGTTAGGTTAGGTTAGGTTAGGTTAGGTTAGGTTAGGTTAGGTTAGGTTAGGTTAGGTTAGGTTAGGTTAGGTAGGTTAGGTTAGGTTAGGTTAGGTTAGGTTAGGTTAGGTTAGGTTAGGTTAGGTTAGGTTAGGTTAGGTTAGGTTAGGTTAGGTTAGGTTAGGTTAGGTTAGGTTAGGTTAGGTTAGGTTAGGTTAGGTTAGGTTAGGTTAGGTTAGGTTAGGTTAGGTTAGGTTAGGTTAGGTTAGGTTAGGTTAGGTTAGGTTAGGTTAGGTTAGGTTAGGTTAGGTTAGGTTAGGTTAGGTTAGGTTAGGTTAGGTTAGGTTAGGTTAGGTTAGGTTAGGTTAGGTTAGGTTAGGTTAGGTTAGGTTAGGTTAGGTTAGGTTAGGTTAGGTTAGGTTAGGTTAGGTTAGGTTAGGTTAGGTTAGGTTAGGTTAGGTTAGGTTAGGTTAGGTTAGGTTAGGTTAGGTTAGGTTAGGTTAGGTTAGGTTAGGTTAGGTTAGGTTAGGTTAGGTTAGGTTAGGTTAGGTTAGGTTAGGTTAGGTTAGGTTAGGTTAGGTTAGGTTAGGTTAGGTTAGGTTAGGTTAGGTTAGGTTAGGTTAGGTTAGGTTAGGTTAGGTTAGGTTAGGTTAGGTTAGGTTAGGTTAGGTTAGGTTAGGTTAGGTTAGGTTAGGTTAGGTTAGGTTAGGTTAGGTTAGGTTAGGTTAGGTTAGGTTAGGTTAGGTTAGGTTAGGTTAGGTTAGGTTAGGTTAGGTTAGGTTAGGTTAGGTTAGGTTAGGTTAGGTTAGGTTAGGTTAGGTTAGGTTAGGTTAGGTTAGGTTAGGTTAGGTTAGGTTAGGTTAGGTTAGGTTAGGTTAGGTTAGGTTAGGTTAGGTTAGGTTAGGTTAGGTTAGGTTAGGTTAGGTTAGGTTAGGTTAGGTTAGGTTAGGTTAGGTTAGGTTAGGTTAGGTTAGGTTAGGTTAGGTTAGGTTAGGTTAGGTTAGGTTAGGTTAGGTTAGGTTAGGTTAGGTTAGGTTAGGTTAGGTTAGGTTAGGTTAGGTTAGGTTAGGTTAGGTTAGGTTAGGTTAGGTTAGGTTAGGTTAGGTTAGGTTAGGTTAGGTTAGGTTAGGTTAGGTTAGGTTAGGTTAGGTTAGGTTAGGTTAGGTTAGGTTAGGTTAGGTTAGGTTAGGTTAGGTTAGGTTAGGTTAGGTTAGGTTAGGTTAGGTTAGGTTAGGTTAGGTTAGGTTAGGTTAGGTTAGGTTAGGTTAGGTTAGGTTAGGTTAGGTTAGGTTAGGTTAGGTTAGGTTAGGTTAGGTTAGGTTAGGTTAGGTTAGGTTAGGTTAGGTTAGGTTAGGTTAGGTTAGGTTAGGTTAGGTTAGGTTAGGTTAGGTTAGGTTAGGTTAGGTTAGGTTAGGTTAGGTTAGGTTAGGTTAGGTTAGGTTAGGTTAGGTTAGGTTAGGTTAGGTTAGGTTAGGTTAGGTTAGGTTAGGTTAGGTTAGGTTAGGTTAGGTTAGGTTAGGTTAGGTTAGGTTAGGTTAGGTTAGGTTAGGTTAGGTTAGGTTAGGTTAGGTTAGGTTAGGTTAGGTTAGGTTAGGTTAGGTTAGGTTAGGTTAGGTTAGGTTAGGTTAGGTTAGGTTAGGTTAGGTTAGGTTAGGTTAGGTTAGGTTAGGTTAGGTTAGGTTAGGTTAGGTTAGGTTAGGTTAGGTTAGGTTAGGTTAGGTTAGGTTAGGTTAGGTTAGGTTAGGTTAGGTTAGGTTAGGTTAGGTTAGGTTAGGTTAGGTTAGGTTAGGTTAGGTTAGGTTAGGTTAGGTTAGGTTAGGTTAGGTTAGGTTAGGTTAGGTTAGGTTAGGTTAGGTTAGGTTAGGTTAGGTTAGGTTAGGTTAGGTTAGGTTAGGTTAGGTTAGGTTAGGTTAGGTTAGGTTAGGTTAGGTTAGGTTAGGTTAGGTTAGGTTAGGTTAGGTTAGGTTAGGTTAGGTTAGGTTAGGTTAGGTTAGGTTAGGTTAGGTTAGGTTAGGTTAGGTTAGGTTAGGTTAGGTTAGGTTAGGTTAGGTTAGGTTAGGTTAGGTTAGGTTAGGTTAGGTTAGGTTAGGTTAGGTTAGGTTAGGTTAGGTTAGGTTAGGTTAGGTTAGGTTAGGTTAGGTTAGGTTAGGTTAGGTTAGGTTAGGTTAGGTTAGGTTAGGTTAGGTTAGGTTAGGTTAGGTTAGGTTAGGTTAGGTTAGGTTAGGTTAGGTTAGGTTAGGTTAGGTTAGGTTAGGTTAGGTTAGGTTAGGTTAGGTTAGGTTAGGTTAGGTTAGGTTAGGTTAGGTTAGGTTAGGTTAGGTTAGGTTAGGTTAGGTTAGGTTAGGTTAGGTTAGGTTAGGTTAGGTTAGGTTAGGTTAGGTTAGGTTAGGTTAGGTTAGGTTAGGTTAGGTTAGGTTAGGTTAGGTTAGGTTAGGTTAGGTTAGGTTAGGTTAGGTTAGGTTAGGTTAGGTTAGGTTAGGTTAGGTTAGGTTAGGTTAGGTTAGGTTAGGTTAGGTTAGGTTAGGTTAGGTTAGGTTAGGTTAGGTTAGGTTAGGTTAGGTTAGGTTAGGTTAGGTTAGGTTAGGTTAGGTTAGGTTAGGTTAGGTTAGGTTAGGTTAGGTTAGGTTAGGTTAGGTTAGGTTAGGTTAGGTTAGGTTAGGTTAGGTTAGGTTAGGTTAGGTTAGGTTAGGTTAGGTTAGGTTAGGTTAGGTTAGGTTAGGTTAGGTTAGGTTAGGTTAGGTTAGGTTAGGTTAGGTTAGGTTAGGTTAGGTTAGGTTAGGTTAGGTTAGGTTAGGTTAGGTTAGGTTAGGTTAGGTTAGGTTAGGTTAGGTTAGGTTAGGTTAGGTTAGGTTAGGTTAGGTTAGGTTAGGTTAGGTTAGGTTAGGTTAGGTTAGGTTAGGTTAGGTTAGGTTAGGTTAGGTTAGGTTAGGTTAGGTTAGGTTAGGTTAGGTTAGGTTAGGTTAGGTTAGGTTAGGTTAGGTTAGGTTAGGTTAGGTTAGGTTAGGTTAGGTTAGGTTAGGTTAGGTTAGGTTAGGTTAGGTTAGGTTAGGTTAGGTTAGGTTAGGTTAGGTTAGGTTAGGTTAGGTTAGGTTAGGTTAGGTTAGGTTAGGTTAGGTTAGGTTAGGTTAGGTTAGGTTAGGTTAGGTTAGGTTAGGTTAGGTTAGGTTAGGTTAGGTTAGGTTAGGTTAGGTTAGGTTAGGTTAGGTTAGGTTAGGTTAGGTTAGGTTAGGTTAGGTTAGGTTAGGTTAGGTTAGGTTAGGTTAGGTTAGGTTAGGTTAGGTTAGGTTAGGTTAGGTTAGGTTAGGTTAGGTTAGGTTAGGTTAGGTTAGGTTAGGTTAGGTTAGGTTAGGTTAGGTTAGGTTAGGTTAGGTTAGGTTAGGTTAGGTTAGGTTAGGTTAGGTTAGGTTAGGTTAGGTTAGGTTAGGTTAGGTTAGGTTAGGTTAGGTTAGGTTAGGTTAGGTTAGGTTAGGTTAGGTTAGGTTAGGTTAGGTTAGGTTAGGTTAGGTTAGGTTAGGTTAGGTTAGGTTAGGTTAGGTTAGGTTAGGTTAGGTTAGGTTAGGTTAGGTTAGGTTAGGTTAGGTTAGGTTAGGTTAGGTTAGGTTAGGTTAGGTTAGGTTAGGTTAGGTTAGGTTAGGTTAGGTTAGGTTAGGTTAGGTTAGGTTAGGTTAGGTTAGGTTAGGTTAGGTTAGGTTAGGTTAGGTTAGGTTAGGTTAGGTTAGGTTAGGTTAGGTTAGGTTAGGTTAGGTTAGGTTAGGTTAGGTTAGGTTAGGTTAGGTTAGGTTAGGTTAGGTTAGGTTAGGTTAGGTTAGGTTAGGTTAGGTTAGGTTAGGTTAGGTTAGGTTAGGTTAGGTTAGGTTAGGTTAGGTTAGGTTAGGTTAGGTTAGGTTAGGTTAGGTTAGGTTAGGTTAGGTTAGGTTAGGTTAGGTTAGGTTAGGTTAGGTTAGGTTAGGTTAGGTTAGGTTAGGTTAGGTTAGGTTAGGTTAGGTTAGGTTAGGTTAGGTTAGGTTAGGTTAGGTTAGGTTAGGTTAGGTTAGGTTAGGTTAGGTTAGGTTAGGTTAGGTTAGGTTAGGTTAGGTTAGGTTAGGTTAGGTTAGGTTAGGTTAGGTTAGGTTAGGTTAGGTTAGGTTAGGTTAGGTTAGGTTAGGTTAGGTTAGGTTAGGTTAGGTTAGGTTAGGTTAGGTTAGGTTAGGTTAGGTTAGGTTAGGTTAGGTTAGGTTAGGTTAGGTTAGGTTAGGTTAGGTTAGGTTAGGTTAGGTTAGGTTAGGTTAGGTTAGGTTAGGTTAGGTTAGGTTAGGTTAGGTTAGGTTAGGTTAGGTTAGGTTAGGTTAGGTTAGGTTAGGTTAGGTTA